TTCCACAACCACCACCACTCATTCCCCCTCCATAATCACCTCTGCTCATTCCTCCTCCACAACTACCGCTGCTCATTCCTCCTCTGTAACCACTGTGCCTGATCTTTCCGTGACTACCACAGCTGGCTCCCCCACCATAGCTGCTCCTGGAACTTCCTCCACCACAACTGCTGCCAGAAATCCTGCTGCCACTGCTTGTCCTAGCAGTGATTCTTCTGGAGGAGGCAGAGCCACACGTACTGCTCCCTCCACCCCCACCACTAGCACTGCCACCACCGCTCCCTCGCCGGCAGCTCTTGGAGGTCTGCTTGGAGCCACAGCTCATCGTGGCAGCAGCGAATGATTCCGGTTAAAACTCAAAGCTGGTCTTACAGTTGTTCTGGAATCATAGCTCCAAATCCAGCCCTGCCTGGTCTCCATTTATACCTGCGACAGTGGGTGTCGCCGTCGCAGGGAGTACCTTCTTTGCACGTGCATTTGCAAGCCGTAGTTTTTACGGCAAGGGTAATTTGCCAAAGGGAGATGTTTGACAGTGTCAGGAAGCTAACCCATACTCAGAGTGCTCATGACCGTTTGTTTATTAATACAAAACATGTAATTTCTATTGGGTGGCTCTGAATTAGGTAGATCTTTCCTGTGATCTAGTCCACTGACTTACAGTCATCTGAATTAAACTCATCCCACTCACCTCATCCTGTTCACATCTCTCAGCACAACAATAAACTCCTAATATGGGACAGTAATGAATGCTACTATCTCTCTTTAACGTAATTGTTCCTCATGCTCTTTCCGCTTTTAGATACTTGTCAAGGAATCCCAGCTGATTTTTTTATACTTAAGTGATATTTTAAGAGGTTCTGGTTTATGCTGTATGATCCTTATTTTTAGTCCTTTATTGCTCTGTGCCTTTTGAAAACATACTGCAGGATGTATCTTGCAGGTACACTGAACCCACCCTCTGACATCCTTGTAATTTCTCATAAAAACTTAGTGAACATTGGCAAATATCATACGTGTCAGCAATTTATTCCAAACATATATCTACAATTATGTTTTATAAATGACAATTTAATTGTGAAAAATTGTATGACAACAACTGGAAATTAGCTCTGTGTAAGACTGTGAGGAATGGAAGTGTAACAGGCTGTTGCAGGGAAGAACTCTTCATGTGCTCCAACCAAATGTGGTTACAGGATGGTCGAGAGACCTGGGAAAGCATCCCGGCTCCGGGCCAGTGTCCCTGAACTTGTCTGTGAATGTGCAAAGTAATGTTCTCACTCCCGAAGGGAGTTCCAAATTTCAGTCAGGATGGTGCAAATACAAACATACTTACTCGGAGGAGAAAGGTTAAGTTCTGCTTTTGGAATTAAGTCAATGATCTGTACACTAAAATAGCATTTTCCCTTCAGTTTTGTTTTCCGTTCATGGACACAGCATGACCAAAAGTAGGAGATATTTGCTATCTTGCATCTTCTTTTAAGGTTGTGTCTTTTTCAAATACACAGCAGTGGATTGTTCAGCTGAGCATCCGTCTGCTGAGCCCTTACAGCGACCTGCGCCTCCGACGTTGGAAACGTCCCTCCTGACGGCCTCCGCCCGTCCTGCTCCAGCAAAACGCTCTCTGCTGCTGGCGCGCGTCGCAGGCCGAACCAGCTGCGTGATACCCAACTGCCTCTACTGATCCGGGATGGTGCTCTCTTCTCGCTCAGCCTTCGTGATGTTGGTTGGTGCTAATTTAGAGGTTTGTTTGTTATGGCTTACAGCAAGTGTTTGTGGAAACATCTTTTTATAAAAGCCTCTCCCAGCACACCCTCGCCCACACAGTAGGACACACCTAAAGTTTCATCTTCTGCTGTTCTTCATTTCTGAAATGTCCGAGGAAGTGAGGCCTTCTCAGACTCGCAGAAATTGAAATGGTTCACTACAAAACGTAGTGGAGTCTAAGGCATAATTTTAGCTTGTGCCAGTGAGAAATCCTTTTTTCCTGAAGTGCACAAAATTATCTTCTATACTAACAGCTGCTTTGGCTCATGAAACTATTAGGTTACATTCTGTTTGACCGTTGGCTTCCAGCTGCTGACACCATGTTATAGGACATGGCCATGCTTCTGTGTTGGGCTGTACAGTTCTGCAGACGGGTAAGGTTTTGGTTGGGATTCTTTTCCGGGAAGATGTTTATTACATCTTTTGTATGAGTGGTTCCTTTCAGGTGGACGAAGCTTCATGTCTTCTGTTCACAAAAATAACATATTTGGATAGTTTAAACATCAGTGCGGATGCTCGTGTGCAACACACTTCACAGCTTCATGTTTAATACATGAAAGGACGATTTCCTGCCATTTTTTCCCTAGAATTCAAGCAGGCAACAGCATACCTTGAGAGTGAAGATTAGCTCCTTAAAACTGAAGAAGCCTGATGGAAATGACTGGCAGGATCAGAGACAGAAGTTACAGAACAAATGGCTTCTGAAAGGAATGTTTTATTTCAAAGTTTGCTGTAAGATGGAAGCTGTTGTACAAGATAGTCGTTTTCTCTGCAGTTATGCCTCATAGGATTGTCCAGGCATTTGCAAGCATCCTGATCTAACTAGATGATCTTAGATGATGTTTCCAGCAAATTCTAGACAAAACGCTGCAGAAGAGAACCTGGAGGGCTGGGAAAACCTTAGCAGAAGAGAGATTTCAATAAACTCGGCAGGGACTGCAAGAACCCCAGCAGTACCTCCGAAATGGGACAGAGATACGTTACGAAATCTCGGGCTGGTGCTGCTTATTGCAGCATCAAGCTGCCGCTCCACAAACACATCAAGGCACGTCCACCCTCAGTCGGTGTTGGCGTGCCCGTTGCCATCACACCCTGCGGTGCCTTGCGAAGGCTTCCTCTGGCGCTGCCTGGACTCGAGACTGCCTGGCGTCCCTCCACGATGCGATGCTTACAACCAGGTCTGAATGACCCTTCCGCTAGCTGCCCGCCTCAGGGGGCTCGCTGATGCTGGAAACAGGCACTGACGTATCTTCCAGCCACGCCGAGGGCCGTTCTCAGGCACGGGCGAATGAAGAAAGCTGCGAAAACTTCAGCTGCTGCAACAAGGGGGGGCTGAGAGGCCGCTGCGGCTGTGCCGAGGGCGAGGCTGAGCACTGCGGCGAGGCAGGAGTCTGCATTTATCACCGGTCACCGTCTCCTGCAGACCCTGTGCTGGGCGTCCTCGGCCCTGCTGTCCTTGGCCTGTGACCATTTGTGCCTGTCGCACTGGTACAAAAAAACGAGTGTGATTTACAGCATGGGACTTGTTGTGAAACAGCTGGTTTGTGGTTTTCTGGACTGGGCATAACTAGTGGAGAGAGCATAGAGCCACCACGTCCCCTCCAAGCTGGGAGCTCAGTGGCATTCAGGAAAACCTGCCCTTGCGCATGGACTGACAGCTCCAGGTCACCGCCAAGACAGAAGGGGGTGGAGGAGGAGGAGGAGGAGGAAGATGCCTTGGGGGTGGATGACACCGTAGGTGTTTGCAGCGAGGCCTCTTCCCTTTTCCTGTGAGGAAACTGTTCCGAGCTCTGCCCGGAAGAGCATGGTGGACAGTTCAAGCCTGAAAGGCTCACCCAGTGTGGGCATGAATCCATCCCGTGCACTTAAATGGCAGAATTATGGCGTGCTCGGCAGCACACAGGCGTGCGTTGGCTGCGAGCAGAGGCTGGGAGAGAGCGAAGCCTTCTCCTCCGGGGTGTGTGGCAGCAGTAAGGGCTGGGGCTGAAAGGGCTGGGGGGTGGCACGGGGCCGGGTGCGAGGGCTGAGCACACAGCTCCCGCGGCAGCACCCGCTCTGAGCTCTGCATTTCCAACTCCTTTGGGGTGACGTCCGAGGGGGAAGCTGCTGAGGCTGCTGAGGACATCTGCGGGGCTGCGGCCGGACGGTTACCCACCTTCCCTGTGCCTCGGGGGTGGTGAACCCTCCTCCATCCTTCCTACCTCTGGGCAGGTCATCAGGAAAACTCAATTTGCTTATGTTGCTACACAGAGGAAAACTGTGGAAGGTCTGTCTGGGGAACATGACTCATAATTATACATTATAAACTGACTTCCATTATATAATCATCATGCAATTTTATTAACACCAGATAATCCCATAGAACGGTATTTCCTCGTAGTGAAGAAGAAACCCCGTCCCTGAAGTCTGGCTGGGTTGGAGGGAGGACACTGCTCTTGTTCTGAGGACGTGTGCTGCTCTCCCTTCCGTCGAGGCTCAGCTGCCTAACGCTTAGCATGAATCTGTTCTCCTCTCCACTAAAATTCAAATGGCAAGGAGTTTTTTTCTTATCCTGATAAAAAGCTTGATGTTTGAAAACTGAAATATCTGACAGCATTTGATTCAGTTTAGTTGAAACATATCAGGGCTCAATCATGTTTATTATCTTAGTAGTGCATTAACTGAGAGTTCTAAACAAAAAGTCATTCCCACCTAACGATTCCCAGTTGTAACGAGGGCACAGTGTGCGTTGGAATCTTTCTTCCCCACTGACTCAGCTATTGGTGCCTGGCTGCAGTTCCACCCAGAAGTATTTGGGGTTGAAAACGTTGTCAGTACCAATTATTTTCATTTTCTCTAAATGCATTTTTGTAATTAGAAATAGTTGTGTCAAAAATCCGTGCCCCATTCTTCTCCCAGCAGTGGGACACTCAGCCGGGGAGCGTCAGTTTGTCCCCCAGCAGCTGGGACAACTGTCACCAGCCCCCGGTGCCCAGCCCCGGCATCCTCCAGCACTTCTAGCATTCCTCAGTGGAACAGCACACAGGGTGCGTTGTTCATTCTGTTCCTTCTTCCTAGGTCTATTTATGGCCACATCTAATAAAATAAAGGAGCGTATTTTTAGAGTGAAATTCTGCATAAACCATCTGCCTATGATCACTCCCTGCATGCCAAAACATACTTAGGCTTTTTTTAAGTGAAGATTTGTAGAATATCTGTTTTGAAGTGAGGGACTAAGTCCCCACCTCTCCTGCTCTCTTCTGCAAGGCAGGGTGTAAGTCCTGGCCCCTGCCCACACGCCGAGATGTGCGGGCGCGGGGAGTATCCCTGGGACGCATCCTCCTTGCTGCGTCCGATGGCCCTAACACAGCACGTTGGCCCACCTGGCAGTTACTGGGCTGCGGCCCTGGGCGGGGATCTGCTGCCCGCCGCGGAAGGGTACGCGCTGGTATCCAACCCAGCAAACACCTCTCCTTTTGGGAAATCAATAATCCTTGCATACAGTATACTTGAGGTGTTACTCATTCGTTACTGCAGGGACAGTACTGAGGAAACAATAAAGGGCACCTTCCAGAGATCCAC